GGGGAAGCTGTGAACCGCCGTAGAAACAGCTCTTTGGATCCTTGCAGTAATCATATAAATATTTTTTTCTCCTAACCCACACCCCTCAATATTTTATAAATGTTTTTTTCCTTAAAAAATAAAAAATTGTGAATAGCGAGCAAATAAAGCTAGCCCCATGGAAGCGGTATTATAATATAGCTATATTTTGCTAACTGGAAATATGACAGCTTTGCAAAAATTGGTTAAGTCTTTGTAACTGGAGAAAGTTGGCGTTCTGCGTGCTAGCTTGGAGGTCAGGAACCTGAAGGAACCAAGGAGCTTTCATTATTCCTTAGGGCCACCAAGGGGTATACTGCAACAGAGACGAAGGTTGCTATGCTGCGCTCTTTTTTTTATGCAGATATTGCTCTGTTTGATTGGATCCATGCCTTAGGTCTGTACACCTGTAGAGATGGTCCAATTTCTTCACCTGTTCATGAGCTCAAACTCTTAATTCCTTGCTTCATTTCTCAGTTTCAGTGGGTTTGGTTTTAAACTAACAGAGCATGCATTGAAGCTTTGCTCTAACTGGAGGTAATTTTGAGCCTAGAATGGGGAATAAAATGATGTAGATATTGAACTGTAGATCAGTAAAGAACGTTTCTTCTCTTGAACTACAAAGCAAGTTTAAAGACTGTTTCAGATGTGAGTATTCTGTGGTGATGAAGTGATGTTTCATTTTCTTTTCTGACAGCACCTTAGGCATGTCGTATAAACCAGATGCAGACTACGTTACAAAATTCTTTTTATAATGCTGCCCATCTATATGGAAATTTCTATTTTTCTACCGTGTATCAGCTTTTTGCTTTGATTTTATTCATAGTTAATGTCATACACGGGTTCTAGTACTACAGACTCTTAAATATTATGTTAATATGAGTAATCCTTTAAAAGTTGATTAACTATTCATGTAGTTAAGGCTATTGTGCTTCCTTAAGTGTTTGCAAGACTGAGATTTGCGTCAAGATTTAATGTTCCAGGAGATTTTATGTTTTTCTGCAAGTAATTCAGAGTTGAGTTGTATATAATTGCAGTGATTCCATTTCACAATGCTGTAATTTCCAAAAACTATATGTTTAAAAAATTCTTTGATTGCTTTAAAATTGATTGTTTATTGTTTTCTTGAAAATGAGGGCTTTCTGCAGTGTTGATGCCACAGAGTTACAGCTTCATCTTCCCTCGAAGCTCATAGAGAGCGTGACTTAAGAGAGTTGCTACTGTAATTCACACCTCCTATCTCATACTCTTTGCTTCACCCTTATTTCTTTCATTGATATTTTTTCTTGGAAATCTCAAGTCAGATGCTTATGTGATGACAGAGGCTTACTACTTTATTTCGTCTCTTAGTACTTCAGGAAGCACGGATAACAGTGACTTTTGTCTTCTGGCATATGTTTTAATGCATTAAGTCCATTAAGAATGGCACTGAGTGTTCTGGTGTGATTTCTGTGCTATACATCCATAGCTGGGAGCATGCATTAAATACAAAAGGAGGGTTAAGCACTATTTGCTCAGTTATGGTTTTGAGCAAGTAAAATTCCCTGGACTGTAGTAGTGACAATAAACAACTTGTTCATTATATTGCATTTTGGGGATACTCTTCCGTGCTGACTTCCAGTCTGGACTTCTCAGGTTGCTGAGAACAAGAATTGCTTTAGGACCATCCTAACAAAAAATCATTTAGGGTTAGTTACATTTTGAATGCATTTTAAAATATTCTGACAGACTGCCTTAAAAGTTGAATTTTACTGAAAAGTTTGAGTTAAATTTATTTTCTGTATCAGGAGATTGTTTCATCCATGCTATTCTGTCTGTCAGATTTCTGATTTGAATATTTTAAAGCCTACAAAAGAAATGCAACAACCCCAATAATACTGAATAAAAATTTTAGATAACCGTTAAATCTCAGTAAGAAGTTAGAGGAAAGAATCTGAGCATATATAATTGATGTACACTGCAACCCAAAATTTTAAGACTGATTTGATGCATTTTACAAATGATGATTATTATACAATCACATGTTCTCCATGGCATTCTGTAGTTTTTCTGAGGCTTGTTTATTAGCTATAGCTGCAAGCAACTACAGCAACACAGTGTGCTAATTTGTTGCATAGAGTCAAACTTTCTTCCTTTTTTTTGTCAACATAAAACATGCAGCTAGAAAATGCATGAAATACTTGTCTTGGGGATTCATGCTGTAAAGAGTAGATTACATGAAATTTTAACAAAGCCTGATGAAATTCTTTTGTATGTTTTGTGCCTAAGGTATGACCACGTAAATTTCTCTTTAACTAGAAGCAAGATTTTCAATACTTTCACCTTCAGATTAATATGTCAGATTCCTCCTATTTGAGGTACAGGAATAAATGGTAGTACCTTTTTAGCTCAGTCACTCGTGTTCAACTTGCAAAGTGCTTTTTGGTGGACTGTACAACTATTCCGGTCATCTGTAGGTACTGGTGGCAAGGAACCCTAGCTTTTCCTTTTCATCTCAGTGATGAATGGTTTGTATTTGGCAGAGTTCTTTTATTTGCTGTGGTTCAGTGTTTAAGATTGGAAATTTTCATCTTGGCTTGGGGCCTGTAAGAATTTTGTATTGCCTAATAGTACCCTGAAGATGATAATCCATTTAACACTATACTAAATTGCATGTAAAATGACCAATAGGAATCAGTATTTCTGTTGTCAAAATGAAATCTGAACAATTAGCCTTCTATGTCATTCCCTGTCTTATTCTTCTTTATGTTTGGAATAGTATTTACCCACTAGGATTCTACGGGGGTAGAGTAATGTAGTAACACATATTACTTCTTTCCAATACTTTTATTGTCTTGAAGTCAAATTCTACTAATGATTGTACTCACTCATCATGATCTCTTTCTTTACAAGCTGGCTATGGAATTTCCATCAGAGGACATTTTTTTAATGACAGCATCTCCAGTTATAAAAGCTATAACAAATTTCAAACAGGTAAGAGACTTAGTTTTTGTTACAGTAACACATCTTCAAAAGTTAGTAGATTTTGTCTGTACAGATAATTTAGAGCCTAATCCTGAAAATGCTTGTGATTGTAAAATTGTTTTCATATTAGTGGGACTACACTGATAAATGTTAGTAGGACTGATGAGTTATTCTCTAGTGATTCATTAGTCATTAGTAAATAATTTGTAAATATATTCACAATAGTAGTGAGTGAGTAAGCAGTAGTAGTGAATTCGCAGTAGTAGTGAATTCGCAGTAGTAGTGAATTCGCAGTAGTAGTGAATTCGCAGTAGTAGTGAATTCGCAGTAGTAGTGAATTCGCAGTAGTAGTGAATTCGCAGTAGTAGTGAATTCGCAGTAGTAGTGAATTCGCAGTAGTAGTGAATTCGCAGTAGTAGTATATTAGTAAATGGAGTATTTATATAGTTGAAGTATGTTCCAAGTTTCTATAGAAGCTTTATTTCACCGCTTTGTTAATGAGAGTGCTCCATTTCAAGCACTGAAATGGAATCTTTGCAATAAATTATTTAGGAAACCCAGTCTTGCTAGTGGATCTGAGAGCCCCAGCCTTTCATACAGCAGCAGATTTTAATGTCAGGCAGAATGAGAGCTCTGGTAAATAACCAAAAAGGAATAGCTTTCTGTGAAATCCCCTTCAACTTTATCTCACTGTCTGGTAGCTGGTGATTCAGTGACCTCTTTCCTGCTGGATAAAAAATCCATAGTTGATTTCAGATTCCTGGCTAGTAACCTCATAAGCCTAGAATCACAGAGGTACTCAATTTTTTCAAAACACAGTTCTTTCACACTACCACCTGGGGGAACTTTAAACTCCGTTGTAGGGCATGGAAAAAGTTGGAGACCGGATTGCACAGAATTCAGGAATGCAAGCCACCTAAGCTAGCCAGCAGAAAATCAGGTTTTACCTCTTAGGGAAAGTTATACAGCTAGAGCTAGGCTTCCACTTAGAATTTACATTCATGACCCCTTTTCTGAAACATGGTACCTAACACAAGTGAGGTGTATCTCATGCAAAGTAGAGAAAGACCACTCTGCAGGTTATCTTACAGACTGGTATGGATGTCATTCTTCTTGGTGTGTGAATTCCTGGATTCAAATTGCTGCAGGGAGAAAATAAGGTGCAGAGAGACTTGAACAACAATTCTGTGTATCTAGTGACTGTACCTGGCTGCCAGCCCCTCTTCCTTTTCACACCGTATTATTTTTCTGGGGTTGAGGATGCTTAGAACGTAGCCAAGAGATTGAGAGCTGTGTGTGTGACTGGTAAAGTAACGTCTAACTCAAGAATTTCCTGTGAAGTTGAGAGGTGACAGTAGGGTCCTGGGTGTCCAGGAGAGACATTTATGCATTCGAGGTATCTCATCGCCTAACATTTCAACATCTGAAGATTAGGGAATAGATAAGCAGGTTTTTCTGAATGTAGCAGCATCTAAATTTTGGATACAAGTGTCTTAATTTCTCTGTGAATTGCAAGCGTGGTTTGGCTTCTGATTCCTAGCTGTATTCCAGACTGTTTGGGTATCCCATAAAACAGAAGGCCCAGAAGTCCACATGTACCTGCTCCTTTCTGGAAGAAACCCAAAACAGAGCTGCTTGGATATTTTCGATGTTTCAGTTTTCTTATTTTTCACCAGTCTCTGAAATATCAGACGCTAACTGCAGATGAGTAGAAGGTTAGAGATGGTATGGAATTTGTTTTACCTAAACACAGTCTGATACCGCTTGCTTAAAAGCTGAATTACAGTAAACGCTTTTGTGACCTAGGAACTACCTACCTGCAACATGATCTTTATGATTTTTTTGGGAGAGAAAATGTCACAAGGATTTTTTTTTACATAACTAAAAAAATTCATTCGAGACAAAAGTAATCCCTAAGTGTCCAGACTGTTTTCACCAAGATTTCCTCCAACAGATCTAGAAGAGGAAGATACTTGCATGGAAGAACATCAGTACAAATAGTATTATTTTTATTAAAGTTTTAACCAACAGAAAAATAGGGTCTTAGTACTGTGTTAGGTAAATTAAAAAGCAGTGCTGCCAACTCTGCACCTAATAATATAATCTATATATGGAGAAAACATTATAGCAGTTAGTGCATCCATCAGCATAAATATAGCGTTCTGTCTTTTTGCTTCATTTCTAGCTTTAGGATTAAAATTCTCTGAATAACTTTGAACCTTTGAACTAGGAATATGCATGAAAAAATTATACATATAAAAAGGTACTTTTAGCAGTGACATGGTAGCTTGTTTTGACAATATGGGCATTATGTTTTGAGTTTTTATACTGGAAATGAACATAACGCATTTTGTTACAGACCTTAGAAAAAGAGATGGATAAATTATTCATATTTTTAAATTTGTTTCTTTTTCTTGCAGGTCTCTAGAACACTTGAAGAATTTGATGTAGAAGAACAGCCAGGTTCTCTACTAGAAAAACGGTATCCCAATATTAGAGTTATACAATCTGAAGTAAAACAGTTGAAAAGTGAGGAGCACGTAAGCTACAGTTTTCTCTTTTTTATTTCTGTGTGGGTTCTTCAAATAATATAAGAAAAAAAAAACAGATTAAAGGCACAGATGCATGTTTTTGGCATGGAATTCTGTTCAATAACATTCTGGTTATTTAAGTGTAAGTTATCAGAAATTACAGGAGAATACTTCCTAACTTTTGTTTCACATATCACTTCTACTACTGTTCCAGTAGAAGTGTATGCAGGGGACATAATTAGAGATCACAAATTATTGATTAGTTAAGAAACTAAATTTCTTAAGTGTAAGTCTTTGACACCTTGATTCTATTGCGTTGAATACCTGATTAGAATAACAGGGAAACCGGTCAATAGAACTAATGTATGTCAATGCAGGTGTCAAAAGACTTCTGAAATCATTAGCTGGAGATCTGTGTGATTTCTGAATTATTTTTAGTTGCTACAGAGCCCAAAATATTAACTACTTTATACGAGAAAAAATTCTTGAAAGAACCAACGTTTCCACCTTTCTTTCCTTCTTTTTAACAGAAAAAATGTTGCAAGTACAAGCAATGTACAGCAAGTACAGGTTCCACTTAGTGTCCAAGTCAACTTGACATGTTATTTTTTGCTTCAGTACTTATTGTGAACTCGTGTGCAGATCTAGATCTGTTTTTGCTTGTTTTGAACCATAGAGCTATGATTCCAGTTAGATTATAATTCTGCTAATATTCTGAATCTAATGATAGTCTTGTGGTTTCACTATTATGATGTTTTTTAGTTAACATATATCTCTGTGCACACCAATATTTCATGTTTATAGATTTGAAGGATCTTTTGCCTCTGTTATCCCAAAACCTTAAAATTCTCTTTGTGCAAAACCACTGCAAACTATTTACCTTCTCGCTTGGAAAACAACATATAAGCTCATAAAATGTTACATTTTAAATACTGCTGATTGCAGAATGAGGTAACTTTTGCAGCACCTACCCTTTTTCATTAGCAAAAACACAATTTGCAGTGTCTCTTTAAATTGTGTTCTTGTAGCCATCCCTAATTAAGATACCACAAGTCCCTCAAGTCTTTAATTATTTAAATAAGTTTTAAATGAGTTTCTTAATTGCTAATATTTAATAGTGCATAGGTCTGCATCTACTGCTTTTTTTTTTTTTTTTTTGGTAAACCTGTAGGTACAACTTGATTTTGAATTCAGACCTTCTAGGGCAACTCTTTGACCTCTGGGATAACCCATCAGTGTTCTCTACAAAGAAAAGCAGTCTACATGTAGATGTATCCATCTTCTGAAAACGAAAACCAAAAGTTGTCCCTGAGATAAAATAGCACTTGGACTAACAACATTGCATGTATCTGTTATGTCATACAAGTTTGGCAGGAGGGAACTGCCACACACAAAACTGATTTTTCTTTCAACAGAGAAACTGAGTACAGGGTGCCACCAAGAGGAAAACTTTATATTTTATCTATGTTTGAGTGCACCATGTGCACTTTACATTTTACTGATCATATGATATGTTTAGACTTGGAAGTCTGTGGTGAGTGTAATACAAATAAAATAATGCCTCATTAATAAGAGAATGAAGGCTTGCTGTTTTTTTTAAGAAGCCAGAGACAGCTGTTAATATCTGCAAAATACCGTAACCTTAAATATAAAGCTGAAGTTTCCTTAGATGTCTTCAATTCTTTTTTTCTTTCCTCTTGATTTTTAATAGAAGATTTTCACTGAAGATGGGAAGGAGTATATTTATGAAAAACTTTGCCTGTGTGCTGGAGCAAAACCCAAATTAATTTTTGAAGGAAACCCATATGTAATAGGAATCCGGGATACTGACAGTGCAGAGGTAAATGCATTCTGGACTTACACGTTTGTGACACGTTCTTGCTTCTGATGCAAAATACCAAATATTGTTGTTGAGTGAAATGGAGAAACATCAGATGCTGTTTGTTATTTTATATTCTTAAATAGACCACTTTCAGTAACAGAGAAATAGCCTTAAAATAGCATTGAATAAATAAATTAGTCGCTAAACTTAATAAGTTTATAGATGTCTCAAAGGCAGTTTTCCTAACACGCAAATCCAGAATAAGTAACATTATTTTGCCCTGCAGACAGAAGCCAATCTGAAAATTTATGCAGTAGGCACGAGTAGAAGCTTTTCTGAGAAGAAATTTCTGGTATGCTGTAAGAGGGGCTATTTCTCACAGTGAAGGGCTACTGGAGGACCCCCCCCCCCCCCCCCAGTTCTGCTGTAGCCTCTCCTCATTGTACGTAAAAAGAGCTACAATTGTAATCGAGGATATGGACAAATTTACACGTGAGCGATGACTAAATAGACTTAAGACTTCAGCTTGGAAATAGCAAGTGAGGTCTCACTGCTCTAGGTCCTTAGAATTATAAGCGGCAGGGTGCAGGTGAAAAGAGAAGTACTGTTCACTGCTTCTCCATAATGTAAGAACTACAGTTTATCAAATAAGTTATTAAATGGCATGTTGAGAATAAAGGAGGAGGCACTTCTTCAAGCAAACTGTAGTGAAATTATGAAAGTATTCCTGTAGTTTGTTTTCAATGTCAAAACTTAAGTAATACCTGAGTTAAAAAAAAAAAAAAAGAAAAAGAAAAAGACACACAGCCTTTAATAAATCTTTTCCATGAACTGAGGAGAAAGACGTCACCTGAATCGCAGGTGTCTGGAACCTGTGAGATCATTCCGTGAAATGGTTGTTGTTTGCTGTTCTTCTTCTGACAGCCTTCCCTATGCATCCCCTGTTGACCACTGTGGGAAGCAGTACACGTAAACATGGACTGACACAGTAGGGCTGTTCATAGCATATTAGGTATCTAATTCATTTGTTCCTTTGAGGCTGCAAATACTTATTTTTATTTTGTATGACAATCAGTCACCTTCACTAATTTCCTGTGACACAAGTTCAGTTCAGTACCCTTCTCTAAAGGGATTAAAGGACCTCAGTTTTCTTGATCTTTCCTCATTTAGTTTCTCCCCTGGTATGAATAACATAGTATTCAGCTAAGCTGGAAGCGTTGATGACCAGATTTTCATATAATTTCAGTAGTCCATCTGATGGTCATGATTCTTGATTTATTCGAAAGAAAATATCTGAAGTGATTCTAGTATGGTCCAGAAAAACATTCTATCTAAGTTGGACTTTTTACTTCTCTCACTATAAAGACATAATTTGTACACTTGTTTCTTTCTAAAAGTTTTGCAGGCAAATCACATCTCAGGTTTGCCACCGCCTAATTTTTAAACTGCTGAAAAAAACTTCCATTTCTTTGCACTTGTAATATTTGTACAAATTACTGTGAAGTTGCACAAGTTATGATAAAATTGGATTAATAGATGTCACAGCACTACCAGTCTCTAGGACAGGAAAGGCTCCTGGATTCTGTTACAGGCTGTGCCGATGTGGCTTAAATTTAACTAACTGCTCCTGGCTCAGTTTGAGACTTGCATGGCTGTGGAAATACCTTCATCCCTTTATATGATAGAACTTCACAGGTTTGATTAGCTTCTTTAACAGATTTTTAACATGAATAAATGTATATTGGTAGTCTGAGCAAATGAAAGTAAAAAAACTTGAGAGAGCAAGAAAATACTGAAAAGGATATATTTGATCAGTGTGAGGGAAACATGATCTAAGCTGTAGGTTTTTTGTTTTTTTTTTGTTACAGGCTTTTCAGAAGAATTTGGCTCAAGCTGAGAGAATAGTAGTGGTAGGAAACGGTGGCATTGCCCTTGAATTAGTGTAAGTAAACTATTTACTCTAAGTTATAAAGAAATGTATGCAAACACAATCTTTAACAATTAGGCAGTAAATCTAGTCTGCATGAGTTTGGGGAAAAGCTTCTTATAAATAAGCTTCTTACAAAATTGTAACTCTTAAGGTATTTAGTAGCAAAATTGGTGAAAAATTAATTTTTCACAATATAGTGGAACTGGCTGTTAAGGGTAATAAGTAATAAAACTCCTCTGACTTTTGGAAACAAAAGGTGTAATGGTAATAGAAAGGCAGTTTATCTTACCTCCACCTAATTTAGCTTGATAGCGTTCTGAAGGGTCTGATACGACCTTTGTAGCAGGTAGGACATGGAGCCATGTGGTCCTACAGTCCTGATACATTGCAGAAACATCTGTATTATATGCCAGTATAGTCTTGTTTTGCACCACAGGGACTCACTTCTTCACTTGGGGACTTACTAAATTGTCCTCTGCAGACAATCTCTCTGCAATTCCATGTTCCAGGTAGTAAACCTGACAGTTTTTCTGCAGTCTGTTTTCTTCAGAGAGACAGAAAGAGTGCCCAAACGCCTGTCCTTAGCAGTGGGCACGTTGGCAAAAATCACACACCTTTGCAGTGTGTGTGTGTGTTTGGTGGTAATGGGAGCAGGAAATATTAAGTCTCATTATGAAAAACTTGATCTGCCTTCCTCCTCCTTTCTTTTCCCCTCAGTCAATTTGCAGAGGTTTTTTGCCAGTTACTTACGTGAATATTTGGGAACTGCAGTGGATGTGAGGTTTAAATGTTGGGGATACATTGTTTCTAGCTTCTGGAATGACACCTTGCACACTTTCAGTTGTATTGCTCAGAGTCATAGATCCTTTGTTTGACAATCTGCCATTTTATCCATTGTTTAAATGTCCGTTAAGGTATGAAATTGAAGGCTGTGAAGTAATCTGGGCTATCAAAGACAAAGCCATTGGGAATACTTTTTTTGATGCAGGAGCAGCTGAATTCCTCATTCCAAAACTAACTGCCGAAAAACGAGAAACTGCAATAGCATGTAAAAGAACCAAGTATACAATGGAAGGTATGGTGTTTCAGTCTCCTTGCGCTGCAGCAACAACATTTAATATTAAAAAGAATCCTGAGATCAGTTAAATTAACAGGCTTTAGAAAAGTTTTACAGTTGCATTTCCTTTTTGTTTAAAAAAAAAAAAAAGGGAAATACAAAAACCTCTTCAGTGTTTATGTATATACATGGGACTGCATAATATGGTTATCTAAAGATTGTAAATGTGCTTAACTTTATATCTGTGCCAAATTTGAATTTAACTTCCTGTATTCAATCTGCTGAAGATCCATTGTATTTTCTGTTAGATTTTAATGTGTTTTTCTGAGTTATATCAGCATTATGGAGGAGGGAGCTCTCCCATAATGAGCTGTTGGAGAACCAGATGAAGCCGTAGAGAATGTTATTACAGATGCAATGAAACTGTATTCTTAGTAACAGCAGTGAACTAGAACTGCATGAGCAAACATGCAAATACGTATGTATGTATATATATGTGTGTGAGTGTAGGTATAGATATGTAACCAAAACAATTAACAAAAAGAAGAGTAGGGTTGAGATTGGAAGGATGGATCATAAAAGGTTCAGCCTGAAGGTCACAATACTTTTCAAGTGTAGCATATATTAGAATTTGAATTTACCCTTTCATGCAGTGGAGTGCATATAGTGCGTGTTTGCTAGCAGATGAGTGTTAATTTAAATATTAGTATTAATATTAAGCAATGAAGTCAACACTGGGCCTCCAGAACACTGGTGCCCCAGAATCTGCCGAGGGTTTGGCCGTTAAGGGTCCGTGCAGGCACTTAACAGTGCTCAGAATCCATAATTCCTTTCTTCAGCAAAAATATCATTGATTACACATAAATGAGAATTTTCTTGACCAAAACTGTTGTAATACTCCTGACATGGTTGTTTCAGAGGTAAGTGAAGTATGAAAGGGATACAGTTGAAAGGTACTGTTAAAAATACTAATTTGAAGTCTGACATGTGTGAAATAGTGTCTGGGACTTCAGCTTACCTTGGCAGTTATGTGGTTTTGTCCTCCCTTGTGGCGACAAGATCATACTTCTCTTAATTTAGAATCCTTGTTCTCAGTTCTGCAGGCAGTGAAATATCTATGCTAAATCTGATATTCTCCATCTCTTTTGCTTCAGGAAGAGAAAAAAAAGAAGGAACCACAGCAGCATCTGACAAACTGGGCAGTGCCTTAGGCCCTGACTGGCATGAGGGCTTACATCTTAAAGGCACTAAAGAGGTACAGTCATAATCTTCCTGCTCACATTTGTTTGTGCTGCTTGAGGTATATAAGGATTACAGACAGTGAAATGCCACACTGAGGATTTTTAGAAAAGGAAAAATAGCATGTGCTTGAACTGATTCTTCTTTTTATTGGAATTACACTAGAAAATTTATACAAATGCAATTATTTTCTGTTATTTTCTGCAATTATTTTTGCCTCCCAGAGAGGGTGGCAAATCGGATTCACTGGCATGGTCTCAGACTGAAACATATAAATGTTGATTTGCACATTTCTGACTTGTTTCAATCCTAGCTTTAACCAGAAGCAGTGGTACGTGTAACCAAATCAAATAAAAATCCTCACGTTTCAGGTTTTTATCACATTTTCATTTATCAGTCTCTTAGCTGCTGTGTTTCCATCTGTTAACCTATTTAAATAAAAAAGCCTATCAAAAATGAATAATCATAAACTCTACAGAACTTGCAATACCAACTAAAGGATATTTAAGATATTCAGCAGGCTAATGGGTGGTGTTATAGCAAGTTCAGGCTGTGGAATTTTTTTTTGGTCTGGTAGAAAACAAAAAATTAGAGTTGTTCGTGGTCTGAATCCACAAAATAATTTAGAGAGACTGACACCTTTCCATACTGTGTCTTGAGCTCAGAATAGGAGTAAGTGGTTGACACATGGGCTGATGGAACCAGATATCTTTTTCCTTTTACAGCATTTAAAATATGAATTAACATTAGTATAAATTAATATAATGTTATCAGAATTTAATTCATGATAGAAATTTGAGGATTTGAAAGGCAAAACAATTGAGTTTAGCTTTTTCTGTTCTGAAAAGTTCTGTATTCTCCTCCTATGCCAAAATGAGAGTGGGAAGTCAGCTAATGTGTCACGCTTTAAGGTGGGATATATGCTTATTCTTTTGTTCAGTTTACTAACACTTCAATTTAGGAGAGAGTGTATTTGCTGTTAAAAGTATGGTTAATGCTAGTCGTCTTTTTTCAATTTTATCAATCTTTAGTTTTCTCATAAAGTACATATTGAAATACTATGTGAAGTAAAGAAAATACTCCTACAGCAAGAATTTGTACAGCTGCAACGGACTTCTCTGACTTTTCCTAAGGAAGAGAAAAATGAAGAACCAGATGAGGGTAGGTATGGCAAAAGAAAAATGTTTTAGTGCTGATTTGAAGTACAAGTTGAAAATAAAGCACGACTGAAGAATATTTATTGTTTCAAACCAAATACAGATTTGGAAAGCAATTCCTTTATTTCTATAAATTAAATGGAGCTCTGTAACAGTTTGCAGTAGTTGAGGGTTTGGTTTATGGGCTCCAATTAAATTACAAAATGCTGTGACAATGTCAGACTTTCTCCACAGTCACCTAGATACTGTATACAGAATATTCCCTTTTTGTGACAGTCTTTACAAAATCAATATATTAATAGTGGAGTTAGAACCAAAAAAATCACCATTTACTGTCAAAACTCTGAAATCATCTCTCGAAGAATATGGTAGAAAATGTAACTTCTTCCATCAGTAATCCTGTCTTTAAATTTCAGTGAATCGAGAGTTAATATTTAAAATATTAGTTTAATAGCCAATTAATACCAGTATAAGCATCTAGTAAGTTAAGTCTCTGGCATTCTCTTTGCTCTTGAGGCATTTCCTGTGCATCGATGAATCTATGTAAGAAAGATTAATTGGCAGTTGCATGACACTTCAAAGTTTTTACAAGAGTTAGCCACAGAGCACCCTGTGGGCTTGTTGTAGTGGCAAGACATAAAACTTCCTTCAGGAAGATTCCAGAGAAGACTTAACAGTGCGACTGGGAACTAAGCTCTCAAAGCTCATTTTCTAGACCTAAGCTAAGAAATGTTATAATCAATGTCTGAAATTTTTTCCTACTTAATCAACCAGGTAGCATTTTCTCATTTTTTGTTGATTTCACAACTTATAATGAGACATAGCTTATAAAAATAACCTCTGTTGGTTACGTTCTCAGGGCAAAATTTTCCCCTTTTACAGTTCTATGGCCTATATATGTGGAATTAACTAACGGAAAAATTTATGGATGTGATTTCATTGTCAGTGCAACTGGAGTTGTGCCAAATGTTAAACCATTCCTTGATGGAAATAATGTAAGTATACTGATTTATTTTGAAGTGTAAGCTTTTTTTATTTTTTTAAAGTAGGGAAAATAAGGGCTAACAGCTACTTTATGCTTCTGAAATAAATTGTTGAAAGCTAGAGGTTTTGAGTGTTGCACAGCATTTCAAAATAAGGTAGGTATTTGATGCTGAAAATACCTAACGTGTTAAAAATGAATTTCATTTACGTGTTTAGCTTATTATATTGCTATTCGTAACAAAACATGCTGTGAAGAGCAAGGCTATACAAAGAGAGAGAGATATCTGTTATAATCGATTGATACTACAGAAATTTAGAACCATGTTTGTGTTAATACTGCACCATATTCCTGTATTGCAAATGTTATGATCTTCTCCTGGGAAGTAAGCTTTTATTTCTGATGTTTTTCTTCTGGGAAGCTGAAGTTTAAAGCTGCTTGTATTCATTGAGAGTAGTCACACACTGAATCAGGATCTGAACGTGGATGATGATTACAGAATCAAAGTGAATTTTCTGACCTTGAGATCATTGTACCTCCATGTTAGGGTATTTGGTAGGTTTTGGGATTTTCTTGTTTTGTTTTCTGATAATGAAGTAGAAAGCTACTCTCTGAATAAACTGGAAGAAAATTAGGAAGACATACACGTAATGTTGAGCCATGAAATATTTCAAGGCATGTTTTAGAGAGTTAGGTTAGGAATTGGGTGTTTGCAGTGGTATTTCCTGGCCTTGATGAAAATACAACATGGATTCTAAATTAATAGGTATACCTATTACATACTTGGTGTGTTTTGAATCTAGGCAAACTCTGTTACATCCCTGCCAGGTATCCAGAATAATTTATCCAGAATAAGTTTAAAAACCAATCAATGTTGCATTTTACATGTGACCTTCACCTAGCTTTTAAAATAACTAACAATCCGAAACTCCATGTATTAAAGAAAAAGCTTAGAGTAGGATCACAAACTAAATAAACATTTAATGTGAGATGATCTACAGTGGCACAACCTTCATGGTAGGACACAAAGCATTAGAGTGTGTTTTTTTTTTTTTAACTTTGTGTTTGAATAGTGTTTATGTAAATACAAAGAGTATACACTAATAGCACTCTAAATGGAGCTGAAGTTTAAAACTTCCCTGAAAATACAGTACTGATTTGCATTTGCTTATTAATGATAATTGTCTGCTTGTTGCTTGCTTTGTGTGGAGTATAACTTGTATATATAATCCTAAACAAGGGGGAGTTTGCTAGTAATTGAAGGAGCGAAAGGGGAGAAGACAGGGAAAGCAGTCATCTGCTGCTAATCAAAACAAAGGAAAAAGGGAAGAAAGTACAGACAAATTATGTGATGCCAGTGTGGTATCAGGCTTGAATTCTTTAAAAGTCAAAGCCTTTTAAAGAATTGAGAAAATGATTTGAAGAGGATAGTGAAATGTATAGAGAATCAAATAGTTTATGGGTGAAGATTGTGATTGTACTTCTACAGGTATGAAAGGAGGCATGTTGCCGGATTAGTCTTTGGATTTAAGTTTTGATTAGGTGATGGAAAAGACAGGCCAGATAAGTAGTATCATTACCAGGCTGTCAGTATGCAATTCGATTCATTTAAACTAGCACTGTAGAAAACATGAGTTGAGTCCTTTATATCTAGATAATGAAAGCTGCTGTAAGTGAATTTAGTAAATTGGATTACTGCTAGAGTTAATGTATACTTGAACAAAGTAAAAGAATGAAAAAATGGTGAGAAAAGAACACACAGATTGCAACGAAATACTGTGTTTCTAGGCTAATTTTATTTGTGCCTATTTGAAGGATTCTAGGTTTGAATGGCAAGTTTCCAAAATAAATCCTGTTGTGTTTCTGCATTATAGTATAAAGAAGTAATACTTTTGAGTTAAAGGTATCTGAAGAATAGGCAGACAGTTAACAAAATTACTTCGTTATGGCACCCTTGGAGGATTTCTTCCCTTGAAAATGAAGGAGTCTTTTCTTGAGATTAGGATGTTTATATAATATGTTTTCCTATGATTCTCGGTCTTCTATAGTTGAGTCAGATTAGATGGGAGAATGAACAGTCAGTCATAAATTGTCTGCAGTGAATGACCTTTTTCTGTGTTGCTAGAAGGCAGCCAGAAATGTCTTGCTGGGTTCAGTTAGTAATTACTCATGCAATTTTAAATATTCAGATGTTTTGATTAAGAGGATCAGTGGATTTGCTGAGATGTTGTCGATGTCTGCCATAAGAAGTAACTAATGAGATGGCCACTTAACATGGACTAAGTTGAATTACTCAGTTAAAATGGTTATTTTTCTTCAGTGCTAATTGCTGCAAATACTTAGTTTGCTCTAGGTGAAGATGGAGGTCTTAAAGTGGATAAATACATGCACACATCCATACCAGATATATATGCAGCTGGGGATATTTGCACAGCATCGTGGGAACCTAGTCCAGTGTGGCATCAGGTAAATCAATGAGTCATATGAGTGTGCTCTCAGCAGCAATCTAATCTTCAAAGTAAATTGCTAACTGCAGACTTTAGATATGCGAAAACAAAGTTTAGTTGAACTGGAAACCAGTGAGTAAGGAGATAACACACTGACGATTATGTCAGGTGACTTTATCCATGTGGTGGAAAGCCAAGTTGATTAGCCTGAGTATAATGAAAATGCTTAGTATGGATTGATGAGAACAGTGAGTATCGTTCATTGTGCAGTAACACATTTATGTACCTTGGTTTTTTAGATGAGGCTCTGGACTCAAGCTAGGCAGATGGGATGGTATGCAGCAAAATGCATGGCAGCAGATACTTTAGGGGAATCTATTGATCTGGATTTCAGCTTTGAACTGTTTGCTCATGTGACAAAATTTTTCAATTACAAGGTAAGGTAATTACATTCTAATAGCTTAAAACCACTGAACAACTTTGTTTATATTCACATGCTAATACTGAGCGTATGCTTTAATATTGACAAAAGCATTCTCCACATAATAATTAATCTTAGTTCAGATTTTCTCCATTCATATTGACTTCAGATGCTGAAACTGAAGAGAGCAAAGATCTTTACAGATACGTTATGAATTTTAATTAGTGAATGCCAGCTGATCTGCTTTGCATCTCTGCACACATTCAATTCCATGTCTTTAAGAGGCTGTTAATGGATAAATTCAATTCAGTTCAGCATGGTAATTGGTTCTTATATTTTTTATCTGTGTCATATTTCAAGGTGAATATTTTTAAAATACATTGTGGCTATGAAAGCCAATGACAATTGTGTTTGTATGTATGTGTATACATTTATATACACATAAATATATACAGACACATACCATTTTTGTATTCCTATATATATATATATATACACACACACATAAAAATAATATTTATTTTTTTCACGGGGGCAAATATCCCCCTGCTTACATCAGTCTTCTCAAGCTTACAACTGTTGTCAGAAGAAAGATCAAAAACCACTGTAATGTTCTTACGAGTGCTTTTTCTTTTTCCATCTGTTAGGTGGTGGTTTTGGGAAAATACAATGCTCAAGGCTTGGGTTTAGACCATGAACTAATGCTGAGATGTACCAAGGGACAAGAGTATGTTAAAGTTGTGATGCAGAATGGACGAATGATGGGAGCTGTACTGATTGGTGAAACAGACTTGGAAGAAACCTTTGAAAACTTAATTTTAAATCAGATGGATCTTTCAGCATATGGGGAAGATCTTCTGAATCCAAATATTGATATAGAAGATTACTTTGATTGAACAGAAACCATTTTCCGTTTTGTATCAAGTTTTAATCCTGAGTGATGTGGCTTATAAAACAGTTTGCTTGGGATCAGGGATAAATGCAATTCCTGATTAAGATTTTGGGTTGATATTGTCAAATACAGAAAGGCACAGTAGATTAGAGAAATTGCTGTAGAAATTCAGCAACAAAAGCAAGTGGATTAGTGTCGGCAAAGAGTTCATGTCTAAATTAAATGAGAATTTGGCAACAGGGGTATTATAACACTCTTAAAAGCTAGACTTTACTGTGCTGTTGAGACAGCACTGCATTCACCTTTACTGTTTAAAGAACGCCAATAAAACCTTACATAATATATGTTATATCCAGTGCCTACCTCGTAGCTCACTTCTTCCCAAAACCATGCATAATTCACCTGGTGTGATTCCCAGAGCCCAACTTCTTTATGGCTTGCTGCCTATGCGTGTTGCTCACGCATTTCAACCAGTAAGCAGCGCTTGTGAGCAGGATGCTTTGAGTAAACTACTGCCTTGAGCTACCTAGGGCAGGGTGTTAGCCTGGGCAGGGTCTATGCTGACTAGGGCAGGGAAGCCCCTGCTTCCTCAAACCACTTGTTCAGGTGAAGACATACAAGGCAGTTATGCAGTGTGTGCCATACCACTAGTACCCCTCCACAGTTCAAGCCTTTGGGTACTTGCCACAGGCTTCAAAGTTTCTATTCCAGGTATTGGCACCGTCTCTGTCTACTACACAAGCCGCTCAGGTCACCAGAGGGCATCTTTAGGGCACAGGCCACTCAGAGCCCTCACCACCTGTAGTGTGCTCTGCAAATATAAGGTAAACTGAACCCTTTCTTTTATTTTTGAACTTTTAGTTGTTGAAAGAAAAGTGTTTTCTGCTTCACTAAATATAGAATGTATAGAAACTGTGAACTGTAGAAGCCAGGAAGAAATGTCTTTGAGATGCTCTGTTTGGGAGCCGTTTTTTACTTCTTGTCACTTCAGCTCTTCTGATAAACCTGCACTGGTATGTCATGTATGATCTTCAGTGGGGTCAGCATGCAGCTCTGCGCCAGGGAAAGGTTAACACAACAGCACCAACAGATGTCACCTGTAGCAATCTTTCACTTTCAGGATCCCATAGAGTAGACTGCTATATATCTGATAGATGGTATGGGATCTTATTTTGACTGCTGGAAAGCATAGCTACAAAAGTATGTCCCCGGGCACAAAGTTTGTATGCAAGTTTTGCAATCTCAAGGCAAATGGCTTTTGTTTTGATTTGTTGTGTAGGGTTCCTACTAGACAACAACTTATGCTCACAAAGAAAACACTTTCTGTCATCTGTTATTATTTACACTGTCATGCATATTGGTTCCAGGAAGGAATTTTTGCAGGTACTAAATTCTAATTTGACTTCGGTAACCAGTGACAGAATATAGTGTTAAGTTGCAAATTGGGGTTAAGGTTGTTTGTTTTAAATCATAATGATCTCCCTGGATGTTTAGAGTTATGTAAGATACACTTTAATAATGGTGATGCCATGTATGGACATGCGTGTGTACAAGCTTGTTTAAATCAGATTCCTTTTTTTAGTTGCTAGCAATAACTTACTGCCTAGTTTCCTGCGGGAGGAAGCCTAACAGTTTAAGCTGTTCCTAAATGCCTTCTGCATATGCCATAGTGCCATCCATGGACATTAAGTTGTTTCATGTGTGATATTACCATCTTTAATCTACAGTTGCTACTGGGGAATTATTTTTTACTTAGGAACAAACTGGGAGTAGTTTACAGTACACTATTTACAAAGTTGGAACTGGAACTTCCTCCAGAAAATCACTCTAGTCTTTTTTCTTTTTTTTTTTTTTTTTTAAAGAGAATGACTGTTTAATTAAATGAATAAATTACACTTCAATCAAAGGTTTCAGTTAAATGATGGGTAAAAGTCTAAGCTTTAGTCACTCACGGGATCCTACCAGAAAAATAAACGTTTTTAATCTTTTAGTTTGCTTATATTTAAGTAAGTACACATCTAAATGCCTGAAAAGAAATCCAGAATGAAACTCACCAGAACTGTAATTAAGTTTGTTTAAACTCAGTTTATAAACTCATTAGATATGATTAGCTGCTAAGATCTTCCAAAAATGGGAACGTAGCATTTAGATTCCTGAGTGTGCCTAAGCAGCTCTTAAAGTCAGTAGTAGCTGTAGGGTGTTCAGCACTATTGCATCATAGTTTCTGAACATATTGATGTAAATGTGCAAGACGTGTGTATTTCTACTATGCATACACTTAAATATACTCTGGAACCTACAGCCAGCTCTGAAAGGGGAGGCAAAAAAAACGCTGTAGCTGAAAACTTTCTTCAGTTCATAGAGATTGCTGGGGAAGGTGATTGTGACTGTGATGAAATGCAAATTCTAGGAGGATGGTCCAGCCAGCTGAAGTGCTGTCAGAGTCCAGTACTCTCTGACCAGGTTCTTTCAGATATTCCACACATTTGGACAGTGCAGTGTTTCATATAAAAGTTTATTTTTGAAGGAATTTGATGTTACATGGGATTTTGATTTAGCAGAGTGATTCAGCAATATACTGAAATCACAGTTCAAGTGTCTCACAATACAAGTATATACACTTCACAAAATCTAACTAGACAGTTCACTCACAGTACCAATGTCATTGCCATTACCGGTCTCAAATATGCTCACCATCACAACAGTGGGCATCCCTAATTGCTGGGAAGGAATACGTGGGTTGATACCAGCTCAAGCCTTTTGCTCTCTTTGAAATTTCTGTTAGTTGTTGAGGTTTTATACTTTCTCTTGGGCTGAGCTACATACACACTTCACCCCTGCTGGGCTGGCTAATCTCAGGGAGACATTCAGACCCTTTTGGTCAGCTCAGGAGAAAAAAAAACCACTTACACTAGGTCTAGGTAATGGATATGGTTGCTTATCTAAGATGAAGGCCACCCTTCGGTCCCCTTATGTCTTGAGATAATGTCAGTTCTCTGTGCAACAGCTGCAGTCAGCAAGCTGCATCCTACACTGTCCTTGAGATTTATGGGGCACCTTGCCCTCTGAGCCTTGTCCCATTGTAGGGGGGTGTTGGTTGGTCATGTTTGCGGTGTTCTATGTTATTACTGAAGTTAAGCTTCAGAAGACAAAGGCTTCATGGCATACACTTACCTAATGCAGACGGTTGTACTGAGAAAATAAAATACTGCTGAGACAGGCTAAGCAATACAGTTCAGAAGACGATAATCATAGAACCACAAGCATTTCTGGAGATGGAAAAAACTTATGCTAAGCCCTTTACTGCAAAAGAACTGAAGCTCTTAACAGACCCTTTCACTTGACTGCTGAAAAATATCAGGTCTTCTGCACTCTTCAAGTACTACTTTATATTCTGTGTATTTGAAACTCTTTCTGTGAATACTGAGCAGCATGGTTTCTTTTTTTTTTTTTTGGAGAATACCAGTTTCCTAAAGTCTGTTTACCTTTCATTGCTTTTCCAAAGTTTTTCCTTTTATTAGACGTATTTCCTCTTATTTTCCTCTTAACGCAAACGTTAAGGTGGCAAAATTGTTCTTTGTTGAATAGCAACTTCTCAATAAAGCTTCTATGAAGTATTTTTAAAACACTTGCAACAAATTTGTAACAATCTTTATTTTAGGTTCATTTTACTGAGTAGAGGGCAGAGTTTCACTTGGTAACAATTCTAGGCTGTGCTTTATTTTGTAAGGGAAGTTGCAAGTGTTGTAACTGTAGTACTGAGAAATATGACCATACTTTTATTTAAGGAGGCACTTCTAAACTACTGCAAGTTCAGCTGGACTTTATGCACTTTTAAACTAGCTAATTTTGCTGATGGGTCCTAATACAGCTACACCATCCATACAACTACACTAAACACATTTAGGATCACTAAAAAAGCAGAAGTTACTGATCCAAGCTGCATGTGCAGCTCAGCCTAAGACAGATCAGTTCATGAAAGGTTCTCTCCTGCAGGGTTAGGGCTCTCTCGTGTATATGTGAGAGAAAGGAGCTCACATGTTTCTAAGCTGAGATCAGTCTCTGTCATCATGCTGCCCTCTCCCCTGCATTCAGCATTCTATTTTTGCTTCTTCTATTCTCTTCACCACGAGCTGTGGAGAGGAAGTAGTTGATAGGAAAGGTAGTTTTTTAATTTCTGAATTCATCCGACAGCATTTTATAGCCCTGTTATTAGGGGATCACATCATCAAGTTCAGAAATGACCGGGGGGAGAATGTAGAACCCTCGAGGACAAGGAAAGGACTAAATTTTCAGTTGAGAAAAAGCTGAAGTGTCAAGGGCACCAGAAGTACACAGCTGTGAGCTTAGCCTTTACTTCCTATTACTGTAGTCATTCTCATATATATGAAATACTATATACAACTCAAGTAAAATTTACTAAAATCATTAAACAACAAAATTTTGAAACAAAGGAGTAAGCTTCCCAGCAAATACACATATTGTTAATGAACAGTTAACAATATCTAAGAGTACAAAAAGTCAGTACAGTCATTTGTATCAAGTATTTTAAATGCACTCTGAAATCTTATGTGCATTTAATCTATTGGCTCTTACTTGCAACTTTCATGTGGTTCAAAGAGTCTTTTAATAGAGAGTGTGACTATGACATCTGCATCTTCGAGACTGTACACTGCTTAAACATTAAGCATACACGCAACAAAAGCCCAGCAGTTGTCATCGCCCAAGAACTGAGATAGCGTGAACAGAAATGTTCTTCAGACCTTTTCTCTCGGCCCAGCTGTTCTCGCTCCCAACTCTGACAAATCCAAGTGGAACTGAAGAGAACGGTGCTGAAAAATCTCAGCAATAGAATTCTCAGGACAGAGTTACAGCAAAAGACTTTACCAGTGACCAAAGAGTAGTATTTCAGAGCAGCTACTGATTTCCCACACTCATCAAGGTAATAGCTCAAACATTCTTTTTTATCTTTTATCCGCATGTACTTAGTACATGAATGTCTTTCTACGTTCAATCTCAGGCCTCAGGCCCTGTCAGCACTCAATTCAAAACATAATTTTTCTTTTATGTATTTGGGCAGGGGGGGAGCGGGACAACAAGCTGTCAGTTTAATTCTAATTCCAAACCTCAAATTCATTACATTTTATCAGAACTCTGTATTATAAAATTCCTACTGCTTGTGAAATGCTTTAGAACACAACCTCTCTCTTTTACCCTTACTTTATGATTTTAAATGATTTTTATCATCTTTATTCTCTGAACTATCACAGTTTTCGCTAAACTTGTGCTGAATATTAGAGAAGCATTCCAGAATTTTACACAGTAAAAGTACACAGGACAAAGCCACAGAGTCTCCTTCTACCATAGCAACTATTTGCACCAACTTCTTTAACAGATATCCTCAAGTGACCTGTACTTCTTCTGATCAAGAGTTCCACGTTCAGTATTTCTTATTTAGATTGTTGAGTTGAAAAAAATCAGGTAGTAAGGAGTGTCAGCTGGTATGCAATAAAAAACAGTTTAAAACATGTCAAGTTGCAAGTTGAGATTTGAATTTTACTCAAACTCCAGGTCGAGCGTATACAATTACATAGGTATGAGTGCAATTCTAAAGCACAGAAGCATCACTCTACAGAACCCATACTACGTACCATCACAAACAGTACTATTAACTGCACAGCTGTAATAAATACAGATAAAACTATATATGATGTTCAACAGTCACCCCTGACAGCAAACTACCTTCAACTGTTGCCAATTTCTCCTCAGCTCCTTGGGATGAGGGAACATGTATGAACGTTTACAGCAGTAAGTACAGGTTCTTTCTTGCCTTGACAGAACCAAGATGTCACATAAAAAGAATTATAAGTCAGTCAAAAGAGACAGGCTGCACTTCAAAATGGTGGAAACATGTTACTCTAAGCCATAGACAAACAGAGATGTGCACCTATAGTTGCCTTCTCTTTCCTTATTTCCATAAACACAACAGGAATAACAAAGCAGACAAGTGTATTTCTCAAGTAGCTAGGTTAAGAGAAGAGAATTCGGAAAACTCCCAAAGATTCAATTTAATACAGTCCACGTTTAAGGCTTAAGTCGGCAGCTATTCTAATTTTCACTATTGCTCCAGATGCGTGGACCTTTTGTAAAGCACTAACTTAAACAAGCCACAGATGCAGTAATGTCCTCTTGCTTACAAAGTAAAATGATACTTATTCATAGAAGAATGACCAGATCTACTTTAGAAAAATAAGAAGGGAGATCTACAGCTAGCATTTAAGTCCAAGTTGACCGGGATGAGTAGGGGGAAAGAGGACAGAGTTATTTTTTCTTCAGTGGAGTTGTTTCTGTATTTCCTAAATAAGGTACAACTCAAGAAAGGTCAAGAAATGTTGTCTTGTCTTTAAATATAAATTTGGATGCTTTTGAAAAGTCCAGAAATAGTAATTTTCAATTTGAATAGCAAACTAGAAATATCCAATTCTAAGAGAAATGAATATATTTTAACAGGATAAATAAGTATATTTCATGGAAAAACTCTGCAAGTCAGAAGCAGGGTAAAGTTGTAACAATGCTCTAGTTAAATTTTTGTTTGGAGTGCATTCAAGTGCTTAAATGCACTGCAGTAGATGCTTACATCTACTACTGCCCAGCAGATGGGCAGCTAACAGATTTGCAGTCGTCCCAGCAGGATCAGAAAAGGGCCAGATATCTCTGCTTAAGACTGTGCAACAATGGTGGTGATGCCCACACGGGCTGGAGCAAGTCTTTGACACAGCAGAGGCTTCAACCCATGCAGAGCTCCAGCAGAAAGACGCTGCAGCCCAGGTCTCTGGCTGCAGGGAGTGCCTGGTGCCTCTCGCTGGGGCTGGAGACAGCAGCGGCCTCGCTGGTGGGAGCTGTGCTCCAGTCACGGTGCCAGTTCACGGGAGGAGCAGCTCCTGCAGCTTGAGTAGTAGCAGAGAGGAGGAACAGGAGATTGATCAGGTCTTTGCAGAGACTCTACAGAGCCAAGAATCACCCAGGCCCTGTATTGCAAAGGAGGGACAACCAGAGACTACCCTCAAAGAAGCAATGGATGGAGACTCCCTCAGTAGGGAAGGCTGGAAACCTGTTGCTTCCAGCAACACAAAAGGGCTCCTTCGCTGCCTGCGATTCAGCCACTACAGAGCAGGTAGAGTGCCCTGGAAACAAGGGAGGAAGTCCTACCTCTATCAGGGGGCATAGGAGCCAGCTGAACCTAAGCCATGTGACCACAAGGGAGAAAAGGAGGGTGATAGTTATCAGATATTCCCTTTTGTGGGAGACAGAGGCCCACATCTGCCAACCTAACTTGATATCTCAGGAGGTTTGCTTCTTTCTGGGGATCCAGATCCCAGATGTTGCTCGGTGATTGGGAGACTGTGGAGTTTAAAATTCTGAGAGAGATGAGCAAGACACACTACAACCACAGCCCTGGACTTCAAGAGAACAGATTAACTTGTTCAGGGATCTCCTTGTCAGAATGCCAGGTGAGACTGCCACGGAAGGCAAGGGGGCTCAGGAGATCTGGTTCATAGCATAGAAACAGAGCCAGACTCTTCTCAGAAGAGCACAATTCTAGGACAAGAGGCAATGGACACCAGTTGCAACATGAGAAATAACAATTAGCTCCAAGTTTTTTTTTTATTTTGTTTTTTTTTAAACCATAAATTTGGTTTAAATTTAACACTGGACACTGGAACAGGTGCCCAGAGAGACTGTAGAACCTCCATCCTTGGGACAGTCAAAACTCAGACACAGCCCTGAGCAATTTCCTCTAATTAGGCCAGCTTTGAGCAGCAGATTGATCTCAGGAGATCCCTTCCAACCTGCTTGATTCTGTCATAAAGTGTTACCAGACACTGCACTTTCAAAACAGTTACTGAAATTTTGTAGTCGTTGCTGTATCACAGGATAGATACCATTTACTTTGATATGAAGCATTTGTCCCTTTGCTATTTATTCAAGTGGTGCTAAATTTAAGGTGGAAAGAAGGGATTAATCTTCTCCATATAGCTAGCTTTTAACAGTACTTGTTTTCCTCTGACCTTTTTGACAAATCCTTTTAACAGAAATACTATTACTAAAATACAAGCTGAACTTACGATTATCCATAGAGAAGCAAACATGGTGAGATCCTAGAGGTAGTCTCTAAGACTCAGTCAAGAACTATTGGTTTTTCATTTCCACCTGCCTGAAGCTTAAGCTTCTTTGCTTTTAAGGTAGTTCCACAGTTAGGCCGCTTATGTTCTTGTGACTTCTTCACTGCTGAATCTTGGATATTCTTTGAAATATTCTGAGTATTTCCTCCACTTCCTTTCAAATCTGCAGACTGAGATGGTTTGTTCTGTAAATTACAAACAGCTCTATTAAAATTATAAAATTGTTTTTCTTCTTTTTCAATACACCCATGCAAGAGAAGATAATTAGGTCTGTTTTAAATCCTGTTGATTGTATTACTATGGAAGATGAATTGTACAGATGCCATCCTATTAAAATAAACTCTATTGGAAAAGGTATCCATATAGCAAGTCAGTACAGATATAAATACCCTGTAGATGCTTTTTTCGTTTGTTGTCCCTTGTATTGTGATGATATGCGCCTCATTTTTTAGCAGATCAGCTTTTGGTCCTATCTTCAGGTAGGATATTGTAGCAAATGCCGTGAAGCTGAAGTCTTCTCTGCGCAAATTAAATCACAGTGTTATAAGGGAAGGTTGGAGACAAACATGATAGACCACATGGTGAAAAAATGGAATGCTTTTACTGACATCCATCAGAAGGGTTAGAAATAGTAGCTTGATTCTGCTTTACTTATTCAAGTGAACAGTTAGTTTAGAGGGATTCCAGCCAACACTTAACTCAATGCAGTTTGTGGACATGTGTGTGTGTGTGTGTGCACACGTGTGTGCACGCGTGTGTGTGCACATACGCACTTGTGAATGTCTGAACACATGGTGGAAAAATGAGGAAAAAAATACATAATCATTCATCAGCTCACCCTCTTCGAAGAATAAAAAGCCAGTTGTACAAACAAATGCCAAAAATTAGACTGAAAAACCAGAGATTAAACTATTTGATTTTTGCATATCATTAGAATTTATAAAACTGTATGAAGAGACAAAACACCATATAGAAGCACTGCTGTTATTTCACGGTTTCTTAAAATTTCTGAGTACCACTTGCCACATTTGCCACCCTGTCCTGACTTAAGACTCCATCTTGGCAACCCCATAAGAGTCAATATAAATAACTGACTCATCTAAAATGAAGCTTGCTGCAGATTTAAAGGTTCAGCTTGTGTAATCACAGAAGATCCCAACTTCTTAAAATTGCAAGAGATGCACAGAAAAGTATTTCAAGTGTTCCCGCAGCACTTATGTTAACATTTTACAAATAGAAATAAAATAGTATTTTCTATCTTTTTTAATACATGAAATGCTTCTGAAATAAGAGCTAAAGATGAGGCCACAAAATGTATCTATTAATATTATAAAAAAACAACATGATAGAAAAATGACTAATAGATTTTAGAGAAAAGGAGAAGCAGTAATATACATCGTTATACATACTTCAGATACTGCTGCAGCAGTAAATGGGCAATAATTCTCTCCAGTTCCTCTCGAGTGCGCTTTGGTGGAGTAACTTCAGTCACCCTGAACTTTGATGCACCTTTCCCCAACCAAGCATCAATTAACTTCAGTGGAGTGAGTTTCTCACTCATGTTTTCAGCTTGCTCAAGTATCTTGATTAGATCCCTGCAGTATTCCGTTATATCTATTTTCTGAAATGCTACAAGTAAAAATGAAGTAATGTTTAAATTGTAACAGTTATTTATGGCACATACATAGGTACCATATAATGGCAGGGCATTTTTTTAAACAAAGTCAACAAATGTTATAGTAGAGCTAAAACTTTTCCTGTATCAAATTAGGATATATTCGTGGTCAACTTTACATTTATCTTTTCTTATTAAAACTTCAATCTTGCAAACATTTTTACATGTATTTAACTTTACAAACCACAGAAATAATTTCAAGGAAGCACTTGCAAAGTGCAATATTCGTAAGCCAGCTGCTACATAATCCCACAACTGGATTCATTTTCTCGCCAGTAATAGTTACTATGAAAAAAACTAAAGAGCAAAAAGGAATCGATGAATGTGAGCAAGGCATTTCTTCTTTCAAGATACTTAACAGACAAAATAAGAGGAGAAAAAGTATTCATTTCATTATACAAAATAGCTTCATCATGAACAATTATTCCAGAGCAATAACACATCTAAGTAGTGCATAATGATCATGCCTCTACTGCAGATCAGATCACGGCCCAGAATTACCCAGATAGCCTCCTCCAATACTAAGAATTGAGCACCAAGAAGCTAGTCCTACTGCTAGGTTTCCCCAGATGTCGCACATAGATCAAGAGGCCCTACAGATAAAACAGTAGTAGACAGGATATATTTCAACTGTATTTCATCATGTGGTTTCTTTAAGTCTTGGATACAAGCCAAAACTTCACAATTTTCTTATGCTCTGATCCCAGTATAAACTTAGCAAAGCCCTACTTCCAGTTAGTAGGTAACAAGACATTATAACTTGCCTGATTTGGCAAAGCAGCTTTATTAGATGGAGAGAAATAACTGTATAATGCAAAAAGAGGTCAAGTATCTCTTATTTCACCATCTGCTTTACCTAAAATGTTCAGGGAAGGAACATTTTATCAGAAAATTATCTAATTATCTAAATTAGAAAATTGTCTAATTATCAGAACAGCTTTGAACACAGAATTGTTTGCAAGTTTCCCAAGTGTTTATCACCGCATTTTCCAAATGCTTTGTTAACAGGTATATGAAGCAAGGAGATGGTCTTTTTCAAATTTTACAGGAACTTGCCTGACACTCAAAGAAATTTAAGGTGTTAGCACGTGTCCAACTAGAGATGCCCAAACCCAACTTTTTCCTTAGAACTCTTTTTGGGGCTTTTCAGCACTAAATGACACTTCTGTTTAAAGCACAACTCCCACCTGGTGCAGCAACAAATACTTAATGCATCTTCAGCAACTCATAGCTTTCAAGACGGATACCAAAACTGACAGTTTAAAGCCCAGCACCACCTAGGTTCTTTCCTAGCTTTTCCAACAAACTTCCTATCTCCCGTAACGGTGTTTTACTGAAACCATCCTCCTTCACCATGCAGCAGGCCTTGTTCCAGCTCCTCTCCCAAGTTCCCTCTAAATTTGGCCCACATGCTTTTCCTTTTGCATTTTCAACTTCTTTCCGAAGGAAGAGCATGTACTAGATGGATGTTCTGCTAGGGCTACGGCACTGCAAAATCCCAAACTGCAGTGTGCTCTGTTGTTCTGCACGCCTGGCACATGCACAGTTCTAATACAGGTAGCAGCACGCAGCACTGGAAGCCTCAGAGATTATACCAGGCAAGTCGTAAAAGGACACAGCAGCAAGCTGTGGCTTTCCAGAGGCCAGGTTTCAACAGTTTGGCATGCAGAGAGCAAGAGGCTCTTGCTCTTTGCTTTCATAGCAAAAAAAAAAAAAACAAACCAAACAACCGCTCGACACACACACACATACTAGAATCTTTTTAATACAAACTAATCCGCCCCTTGGCCAGCTTCACTTTTGGGAACAGATGAACTGAAAGATAGTGGAGAGTTTGGCCTCAGACAAAGAGCCAGTCGAGGAAGAGTTCTGCTAACACCTTACCTTTGGCAACACTGTCAGCCACTGAAAACTGATATTCATAGAGAAGTTACACCTTGGTAATAGGCAGTATTATCAGGATGCTTTATGGAAGTTCTTCATAATTTGTCTAAACTGGATTTTTTTTTTTTTTTGAACACCCAACCTTTTCCACGTTCTCTGTCCTTGGTTACAAAAACAATTTACTTACAGTTCTCTCTACAGCAGTTATCACACATTCTGTTGCAGTTTGCAGAATCCCATACTTCATCAAAATGATGGGCTATGAGGACTCGGCGACACCTGAAAGCACAGAAGAGCAAAAAAGGGGCTGCAGAATGTAAATGCGCACATCTATGTGATAAATCAAGTAAGCGGCAAAAAAAAAAAAAGTTTCCTTAGGTCAGCTTGCATCTCAAAAAAAGTATGAAGAATTGGCTCAGGAAAAGTAGAACACATACTGTAGCACAGTACTTCCTGTCAGGTATGCTGAAAAGAGTAACTAGCAGCTTTCAGTGCTATTAAATATTGCTATGGGAACAGCTTGGTCAAAGCAGAAGAGTAAATACCATCTGTAGTTCCAATAGAATGAAAATTATAAGAACATAAACGAATTTATAGACTCAGGCCAACAAAGACTATATACAATTCATAAGCTGTCCACAACATAGACAAAAATATTTTCTATAAAGTATTCAATCTAGTTCAGCGCAACGGGTGAAACATTAACAAGATCTGGAGTCCAGTATGGCCATTAAACAATTATATCAGACTAAAAAAAGCAAAGCATTCCAATATTTGCACTTGTATTTGGATTTTAAATCCAAATACTTTTCATCGACAGATGTTTTATCTCAACATACGCACTTCCAGAACTTATCCTGAGACTGCATAAAATAATGCTCAGTTACTCTATTTGCAACAGTACACATACTGAGCATCCAAATGGAAAACTCCAAAACTCAAGACTCAGTTACAGTGGCAGCAACATTTGCTTTTTTTTTTTTTTTAAATAGTCTCTTTAAAAACAAGAAAAATCAGCGTAACTATTTAAAAACTAAGCAACTAAGCCACTACAGTAACCTACTTGTTCACGTTCTGGCAGTAAGACACCATATCATACAGCTTCTCTTGTCCTACATTTTCCATCACTACCATTGAGCTGATTCTGAATATATCTCCAAAACCATAATATAAAATGCAGTCAGCTTTTTGGTCATCTCTACCTGCAATGCATTTAAACAAATAAAATTTAAACTTTACAAGACATTTACTTTGAGTATAGTTTTTTCTAGTACAAATTCCGCTCTTACCTGCATGTGCTTCTGCAGCCCTCCCTAAGAAGAGAGGGCCCCACTAACAGTATCAAGCATAGCATATCAGCCAACAGAACGTAGCATGACACACACTAGAAATCAGGCAAATTTAGAACAGTCTTATACAACTACAGAATCAAATAAATTGCAAATACTACACAGTGAAGTTTGGGACTCTTTAACAATTAAAATGTTATCAATGTGATGCACAAAGTCAGCGGAAGCAGTATTTGCCCACTCCAACACCTCTTGCAAAGTCCTATCCAAATACACATTAAACTCTAATTCATATAACAAGATTTGGATAAGCTTCAACTACCTTATTTGGTATTCATGACAACTAATAAAGAATTAGATAGCAAGCAGTTGTTTGATCGCTGCTCTCTCTGCTGCTGCCTAAAGTGAAACTCTGCATGTTGCTGTCATCTTGTGGAAGATGATTTAACAAAATATTCCATGTAAAACCAACTGCGGCTTCTACAGCTGCACTTAGATCATCTCTTCCTTTCCCCTGTGGTCTCCTCCTCCCCTCTGCCACCAAAATGATGATGTACTGATGGGTGCCCTCCTCCTTTTTGCAAGATTCAGAGAGCAGAAAAGGCCTAAACTTTCTAAAGTTTACCAATGAACAGAAAGGAACTACTTCACTGCGATTGGTAGGCAGAGGGAAAAGGAAGGTTTCACAAGCTAAATGGTAGGCTCAGGCAAATTGGTAGCAGTGATTAATGAAGCCCTCCTGGAAGAATATCCGTTAAATCAAGTTATGTATAAGGAAATGCACACAAGCTTGCTGTAAAGTGCCAAATAAGAAGCATTCACCCCAAATGGTAAAGAATGTGAAACAATAATTTCAGCCCTTATATAAAGCCCCTGTCTTACTACTTAAACATTTTTACTTCCTGTTAGCCCAGCACTATCTAGAAGAAACCAGCTCTAGTGTAAGCAGATGTAAACTCCTACAAACTTTAATGGATATTGCGTCTTTTTTAGGTCAACGTCAAGGCCAAGTTCTATCACACAAGCAGTGTTAAAAACTCAGCCAATTGCCCAACAGGGTCCTTAAAAAGCTTTCCTCCACATATATTCAAATTTCTCTTTGAGCTTGTACGTTATTACTACTTCCAAAGCAAAATAGCTTTTTTTGCCATAAAAGGTATCTAGTGCTCCTATACACTGAGCTATCCTTGAAATTCCCTGCCCCGGACTCCCTATCCTATTTGCATTTCTGTGGCCAGTGAAATTCATTCAGAGATTAGACAGCATCTAGAGACAATCTGAAGATTGTACATCCCACTTGCTCTGCGAGGAAAGAAAAAATCCTTTCTATTCTATAAATATGATTAGTCAATGTCACGTTATAAAGTAATTCTGGTAAATCACAGATGTCACAAAAATCTAGCTGTTCAAAAAACACTGGTCAAAGGGCTAAGTTCTTAGGGCTTTTTGCTACACTGCAGTATAGAGGCCTGAGATCAATACCATTCTGCCTCTGTAAAGAGGCTTTAAAGTAAATATAAATTACATTAAAGTTTGGTACCTGTCTCAAAGTAAAGACACTTTGTACAAATGGCTGAAATAAAAGCATAAGTTTATTGGTTTAAAGACATCAATGGATGCTTAGCAAAAACTAGTTCTTACGATACCTGCACGCCCACTCTCTTGATAGTAGTTCTCCATGGATTTGCTCATAGAATGATGAATTACAAACCTCACGTCCGGTTTATCAATTCCCATGCCAAAAGCAACAGTTGCCACTACAACCTGAAATAAGGGTAACAAACCATCAAGGTACCAAGACATAATTTGTTTGAATGAGACAAAAACCTATGAAAATATCTGTCTACTTAACCTGGATTTCATTTGCTGCCCATCCTTTATGAACTTTGGTCTTATATTTAGCATCCATATTTGCATGGTAAGTCCCTGCTTTGATTCCCAGTTTCTGCAAACTCACAGTAACTTGTTCCGAGTCCTTCTGAGAAAAACAGTAAACAATTCCTGCACAAAAGCGAAGACAACTTCTTTTAAGGTTTCATAAAGCTTTTTTTAAAAGATAAAAAAAGAAAAGCAAAAAAAGACCAAGGGTGGGGGGGACCAATAAGTGACCTTTGTGCCTATTCAAGATATAGTATTGGTAGCCATGAATGAAATTTCAATTATCAATCTAAAAAGACAGAAAAGGATTACTTTTGCATTACCCTTTACCCTCTGACCTATAATGCTTCCCTTAAATTAGGGGAAAAAGTGACTTAGCTACATTTTAGATTTTTTCTAGTGCAGAGAAACAGTTCAATCTCCAGTTTTGGCTTGTAGGCTAAAGAGAAAATATGGGTACTAATTAGTATAATCATATAAGCACAGTGCTTATGAAAAAGGGTGCTGTCCCTTATGATCTATAGGACATCTGTAATATCTCACCTGAGATTTCAGGTAACTCTGCTTGTCATTAGTCAAACTGGGCTATGTCAAGGATTTCACGCAAAACCAGGCATTTGGAGCACTGTCCATCTGTTTTAGAGAACAATGCATAATGGATGCATCGTAATCATTTCACAGTGAAATGGTTGTTTTTCATTTGTTAAACATCTTGGTATTGCAGAGCACATTTATTTTGAGCTCACGAACAGAAAACTATGAAAGAAGCCATTCTCTGACAACACAACAGAAAACATACTGCACATTTTTTCATTTTCCAAAGCACTTTTTCCCCTCAAAATTATTATTTCAATTTTAATATTAGTAAGAAAGATGACAGGAAGTAGGATGAGAGGACTGAAGCACAGCAGCTGAGATGAGAAGTCTGAGAAGTCTGGAGCAGGGAAGACAGGGACAGACCAGAAACAAAAGGCTACATTTAGGTGAGTTGGTCAAAAGAATCTATGGCTGCTTTTCTTCTCTCTGCAGACATCTGCCCAGCAGATGCACCTTATCTGTATGTATCTATTCGTCCTTTGTTTCTGATCAAATACAGAAGAGTTAATATTTTTTTAAGATGTAGCATATGAGTTTTTTTTGCCGAGTTGCCTACACGGTCCATCCAAAGGACCCAGCCGTATTGACGGCCCATACAAATATCATTATGAATTCACACAGTAAACTGAGGAAAAAGAAAATATTTCTTTAACATTAGTTTTTATTGGTTAAGCTTTTGAGGATATTGAGGTTATAAAGCGAAATATTCCAAAGGGAGGAAAGGTTGTAATTAGGAATACTCTGTATGATTTTAATTCTCTCCACTATTTCTGCAAGCACATCATGATATAGCCTTTAACTATCTACTGAAATACTATTTTTCTAGTCTAGTGTGTTTCTGCTCACATAATGCACGTTATTACTGCTCAGTAGGGGACTATTTCATTTTATGTTCAATGTGATGCTCTAGATTTAATTTACTGCACTATTCAAATCCTGATTAGAATATAGTGAAGCCCCTTATGACATTATAATTCTTTGGGCCTTCATCATCCCTAACAAATACTCTGTAAGCATTAACTTACATTCATAATTTCTCATAGTGATACGGCATCTCCTTTTTCTGCTAAGGAACCAGCTATGGTCAGTGGCAATCACTTAAGTTTGGATGACCATTTTGAGGGGCCTATAATCACATTTTTAAGAGTGTTTAGTGACATAGCACAATTACATTGAAAATAAGCTTCCATCAACATTATCTGCTGTTATGAATGCTTTAGCAACTCTGTAGGTAATACTAGAATTCAAAATTGGATATAAGTAATACGTAGTTTGTGATCAGCTTTGCACAGATTTGTAACCAGGGAGCTGCCTAGCACAGCAGCAGAGACAGACATAGACTTTTGCTCTGGAAAATTAGGTTGTTGCCTTTGTAATATGGCTGTCCTCTCTTTATTTGCAGTCTATATTTTATTGATTACACAAAGCCCAGCTTTTACACTTCTGTCCTTCACCACACAAGCATACTTCACCTCACTCCATATCCATCCTGAACTTTGAATGAAGCATGAATCTTGGGATCAAACATGAAAAAAGTGTTAAAGATAGTATCCTGACATATAGGCGTCAGAAGGCAGATGAATGAATTCAGAGCATAAAGGTAACCTTTTCTGGACCTTGTTTTTAACAATCTTAAAAATTGCTGCTATTTTACATATGTCAGCACCACTGATTATATTTTAATACTTCAGAAGATGCAAGTACACTGTCAAGATATTTAAACAGTAAGGAATGAAATTCAATTTCTTTTAATGTTGGCTATTTAATGGATGATGAAAGTGGAATCTCTCTGTGCATTTCAGGATCACTGCAAAACATCCCTGTAACACCAAAGATAAATAACATGCTTGTTTATACTGTTTACCTGAGAGTCCTTTGTACCTTCCGTTGATGATCTTAACAATGTCCTCAATGAAATCCTCATTATTTGAAGGTTTATATCGAACCTTAAAAATAATACATACATAGCAGTGCTCTTCAAGTGGGAAAGCAATCCATCAAACAATCCTATTATCTCACTTCTTCCAGTATAATAAACCCATTTATTCTACCACTTAAGCAGAACTACTATATGTTCTGCATATATAGCTTGATTACATCTCAGGAACCTCCCCTCCACACCCCCAAAAGAAGCCCATAAGTTTTCTGTGAAGGACAATAGAAGGAGGCACGGCCAGACAGAAGATATAGCACAATACAATAATTCCTAGCTTTTTGCAGTATGACATGGCATATTCTCTAACAGGCTGCAGCAGCCCGAGCCTGCTACCTCTCTCTCCATGTGCTAACAGTGCTAACTGCTAAGCCTTGTTCATATGAAGAACAGAGCAGCCCAAGTTCCTCTGCAGATGACAGGACATGAAGGTCAGCAAGACAAGGTCATTAAAGACCACCCTGGTTCAGTTCAAAAGCTATACACTGTTAAAGTATATAATTGAAAATCTCTCCTAAAACTAACCAACTATTAACTTCCAGAAAATATAACGTTAATGCAATGCAGTAAGACATACCTCATAGTAAAGATTGGGCCGGTTGAAAGATGCAGTAAAGGTAATGCATTTCTTAACACACAGAATTTTCTGAGCATCCTTCAAAACATGATTTGTAGCAGTTGCAGTCAACCCAATCAATGGAGCATTGGGAAACTGTCGTTTCAAAATACCAAGAGACTTGTAGTCTAAACAAGGATACAGAAAAGAGAAAAGAAAGATTTATTGTAGCATAAATCCAAGCTTTAGAAAGTAAAATATTCACATAGCTAGCATTCCGTGAGGTAATATTGCATTAAATCTGTGGCAAGTTAACAAGCAACAACTTAACTGATTTATACATCCAAATGAAGTAGTAAGAAGGTTGCATTTATCAAAATGAATACTGACTTTTGTAACTGAATTTTGTAAGAGCAGCCACAATTCAGGAGATACCACATATAGGAGTGGAAAGTGACATTGCATTAACCGATGCACAGATTAGTTTGCATGTCTGTGCTTATAAACAGTTTTACAGTTAAGACAGCCTTGCTAATAAACAAACAATGTGGAATTAAAATACAAGCACCAAATCGTGCTAAGGAAAGATTTCAAAGGTTTAGTGCTGACAATTACTGGCTACCTTAGTAAAGGAAATGCAGCCTGAGGTACATATCCAAATCCCATTGCCTTTTTCACTGCTATAGCTCTTTTCACTTGGATATCATTTTTACACAAAACTGCAAGGGAAGATTACTAAGGAATCTTTGTTTTGAATCACAGTTCATCTTTCATAGACAGAGAACAGCAACTGATAAGTAAAGTTTACTACAACTGACAAGATAGGAATCAAACTGAAGCAGAAATCTTCTTTCCCTGCGAGTCCAGGGCACTTGTTGCAAATTACTTGAGAAGTGAGTAAAAACTTATGTCACCAATTTCCAAAGTGCACAAGAGTAGCATTATCCCAAATGCAGGTATTTTAAAGGATCACGAGACTTAGCATCCTAGAACAAAATTCTTTGACTCAGTCACTCAAAATGTTAGGGAATACGATATAAAATGATACCTTTTTTTTTTCTGCAGCAATAGATAACAGAGCACTATTATCCAAATTAAAGATAGCAGCCAAAATCTTTTCCATTTTATTACGCTCCAGTTAAAATAGACCCAAGTGGTAGCTTTTCAGAGGACTGACAATGAAATCTGCATTGAAATTGTCCTTATTTGCATGAACCTGGACAAGGATATAGTCATTTGTGAATAATATTTAAAGTCTAACATAAGTATTTTACTTATCTAAAAATGGAAATATTTACTTAATGCGTGAAGAAAACACTTGGCTTTATCTCAGGCCTAGCTCATCATTTATTGATGCCTGAATCAAGCACTATTGCACACTGCAAACTATTTCTAATGAGCATACCAGGCCTGAAGTCATGGCCCCACTGACTACAACAATGGACCTCATCTACGGCAACACGAGCAAGACATCCTGCTTGATAAGCTTTCTCTAGCTTTGACATGAACATCTTGCTTTTTGCAATCTTCTCCGGGGTCACATAAATGAGCTTCAGTTGTGAGTTTTTGTTCAGCATTTCAGCATGAACCCACTTCACATGCTCCTGTTCAAAACAAAAGGAGAAATCAGAGGCTAACAAACTAGGATGACACACAGAAGTTGCTAAATGCTAGGATTACTAAGAGGCTATTAATAATTTAGGGAACAATTAACAGAGGCTGAAACTATTACATATTTTTTTTTACCCCTACTATAAGTCCTTGCAGAAGATAAATGAAATATTAATTCTAATACTGGGAAATTCTATCACAGAAGTTTGAAAAGAACAGCTATTGAATATTGGTCTTTGCTTCATCATGTGGTATCAGTAATTGCCCCATAAACTATCATGTACAAAACATGTCTCTGGTGCTATAAATATAAAATAATTTCTTATACACATCAACTATTACCAACTGTAGTCTTTTTTACTGAGTTTTCAAAGTGCTCTACCTGAAAGCAAGCTCAAAGTTTGTCATATTGCATCAAGCCATTAATCCATCAAATCCAGTATCGCGGGCAAGCTAATAACCATGACCTCTTGATAGTCAGGAAATAAAAATATTTCACTGTGAAAAGCAGTTGATTATTAGCATATTGGGAAATAAGTTGCTTCCGGGTCTCTGGAGCAAACAGTTTACCATCCTAAAGTAAGAGAAATAATCATATGTATGAGTCTGTACTGCTCAACATGTCACTAGTGCAAAAGATCATCTCCTCCAATCTTCTTTGAAATCTAGAAACAGAGTAAAAAGATACAACACATGCAGGTGAAAGGTACTTCCCATCCCTAAAACAGTCCTATGGAATCTATTTATTCCATGAAAGGTGTTGGCTTACATCAGGTTTTTGTTTTTAAAAAATAAGAATGCAAAATACTCATTCACATTATCCATATCACAGCACAGAGCTGCAACACTTTGTTGACAGAGTGACATTAGCTGATAGAACTGTTCAGTTAGTATTCATAAATAGTAAAGTTCATTGCCAGTCCCTTCCTCACAAAATCACATCAGAGCTTAGCAATTCAACATACCTTACTGCTTGAGGCATTTAATAAAGTTGCAGAAATGCCAAGTTGTTCCAAAACCATGAGCTGATCTTCCATAAGTGATATCAAAGGACATATCACAAGTGTGAAACCTGTAACAATCAATCATTTGTCTCATCTGAACTGTTCAGTTTGCATAACATCCCCTGCATTACTTTATTTATAATTAATGCATCAACCTTGTTCTGACATAACTGCCTAACACAAGCTTAAACTTCATACTCAGTAGCAGACTCCCCTCTTGGGTAGCTGGTGAACAAGTGCTAGCTCACATCTGGTTAACTAGGGTTACGTCTAGATTACATGCAAGGGTTACATCTGATCAACCACCTGTGACATGCCCCCTTCTCTTAGACTCCAGACCACAAACAACTCAGCTGCAAATATGAAACAAAGTATCAGAACTAATTCATAAACAAAGTAAGTTGGATTCACAGTCATCTCAAGAGGTGCTAATTTACCACACAACTAAACAATACAAGGCATTTCTAAGTTTAGTCTTTATGAATAAATTAATTATCAAGCTATTGGATGGGTAATTTTCCCAAAAAGGTTTAAAAATTTCAGGTGGATACTTGCTCTTTAAAGTGAATAAGCAAAGCCTGTCCCACACAACCCAAAGCTAAAACTTCCAACAGGGGAACAGACCAATAACAGGTATCCCTGCTTTGATAATTTACACTCTCTATATTGAAGTAAAAGAAAAAATAGTGACAAACTTTTTCAAAAGTTCTTTCAGTGTATAATAATATAACGTGTTGAGAGGAAGCTGGATAAATGTGATTTAAAACATTTAAAAAGCATGTCTGCTCTAAAGCTGCTATTGCTCCTTTAAAGAAAAATACAGCAAAAGAGAAAAGCAAATATTTCTAGTAAACCTCCAAAGTAGTATAAAAGGGGGGAAAACTAAATAGAATTGTTTGTACACAACCTTTTTTTCCCCTTCACATACCATCAGAACAGACAGCTGGTAACTGATAGCAAAGGCTCTTTCCACCACCTGTAGGCATGACAAGAAATATATCCTTTCCTGCCATTGCAGCATTTACTGTTTCAAGTTGCAGAGACCTAAACTTCTGGAGTTTAAACTTGTTCTGCAGCGCTGTTTTGATCTTCTCATACCAGGGAAAATCTGTTAAAGAGAAAAAATAATCAATTACAGAATTTATTATGTTAAAATATAGGAAGCAAAAATAACTTACATATAAAATAACCACTTCTGAAAGTAGTACAATTTTACATCAGGGAAAGTGTTCAAAGGCTGAATAAAGGCACAAAAAAATCTACACACAAACTGAGTCTGTATAAATTAAATTTCTATAAGATGCAGTATTGAAAATCCTGTGAAAATGCAAATACTATCCTCCTTCTATCTAAAGGCTTTCATTGCATATAAATGTGAACTGATGCTAATATTAAATTTGCATAGGTGAAGGACTTTACGGTGTTCATTTTCAAGTGACTTGATTGGCCCAAAATGAAAGGCAAGCGAGAAGACCACCTTGAAAACAAATAAAAGCAGATACTGAGCCCTAAAGCAGTCTCACCGCTAAGTTGCCCAAATGCTTCCCTCATACAAATCCAATGATTACAAATAGCATAGTGAAGGCAGGACAGGAACCACCTGTTCCATATATTATAGAAATTATAAACTAGAATCCAAAAGAGGGGTGAGGAGTTTTGTCTTCCCCCAAATCATCACTCCAGCATTTTTATAACACTTTTTTTTTTCTTAATAAAGATTTAAACATCTGTCATCATTTTAAGAGAAAATACCAGGAAAACTTGAATTTCAGATTCACCAGGAGGCTTATTAGCCATTTTTCACATTAATAAAATAAAAATGTAGAAACACTGTAGGAATTCCATACTATATTGCATATGATGCTAGAATTAACTTTAAGGTTTGAGGCAGCATTGCTTCCCAATTTATGGAGATCACAGTCAAGATCCAAAAGTCCTCTGAAGTCAAAGAAAGCCTCCCAGTGACCTCAGTGAGCTTTGGATTGAGGCCAAATTTAGCTACTGTGCTTATTCATCATGAACACATGCAGCATCTGATTGAAAATATGTTAGTTTTTTAGTTTTCCAAGCACAGAAGAAGAGACCTACGCATAAAGTCACTCAGAACAAATCAATTTGTTCAATAGCACCAATTTGCAACTATTAAGCAGCAGTATTACATGCACATAATATATTTTTTTCAAATACAGACAAATAAGGGTTAGACTACACTTTCATTTCACAAAAAAAGGAGGGGATACATACAGTAGCTACAGACAGGAACTAATAATGCACTTCTGAAATACAACTAAAGTAAAGAGAAGGGAGAAAAAATAACAATAAAGAGAAAAGGTCAGAACTGAGTTTGGCTACAGACAACACAGTCAAGACTCACCAGCCATCCTGGACTTCAGTTAATATTTTATTTGAAAGACAGCACTTGAAAAAGAACAGCAGCCCTCACACATAGGGTGCTTCTTTTTCAGCTTGGCATAAATCTGCTGCACTCTATATTCCTTTCAGCAATCAGCATTCACCTAATTTGCCTCATTTGGTAAGATGTTGGGGCCACACAACATCAATGTCCTACCCACTCATGTAGGAAGAATCACAAAGACAGTGAGAAGTAACTTTAAGAGTGTAAGACTGTCATTACCAGATCCTCAAAATACCTAAAATAATAATTTCTGGTTCAAAAATAAAGAGAGGAATATAAGTACTGCAAGACAGCTAGATGTACTCAGTGTTTCTTCTAGCAAATCCAATCAAATTATGACACTGCAACAAGGAGAGGGTAAAAGTGGTTATAATAAGCCATTATTTTCATAATTCTGCCTGGAAGAACTCAGATTAGTACTCAGGAATGTCGAAGGAGGCAAGTACAAACATTATGCTGTGTAGTTAAGATAGTAGGCCAGCTGTTCACCAACTGAAAAAGTGAAATGAGACAATATCATCATTATCCAAAAAGAATTCTGAACGAAAGCATTTTTCCCTTACTGCATTAGAATACCTCCATGTTAAAACACTTGAATTTGACTCTGCAAACCTTTTTTTTTCCATGCCTCAGCTGAGCTTTCAGCCTCTTCACTTCCTCCGGCTTCTGAATCTTCCGAGGACTGCTTTATCAGCCTCTTCAGCACCATCTTCTTATGAATGAGTTCCTGCTGTTTATCCAGAAGCTCCTGAATCTGCATCTCCACTGCCTGAAGCTCATTTTCAATGCATACCAGTTCCTCCTCTAGCACTAAAGGGAAAAGCAAGATAAAGCAGGAGAGAGACTATACTAACCTGCTAATCACAGTTTTAAGTGGCATCATATTTTATATCTATTGAGTGAGAGCAATCCAAATTAAACACACAGCAAAAGTGTCTAGAGAAACAACCCGATAGCATTACAACATCTAATCTCTGTATTTACCATGTACATATACCTGTAACAAGGCTTACTAACATATTTCTTAGATAAGTAGGTCACACACCTATTGTAAATTGTGATCTCTGCTGCACTGTATGAGGGATATGCAATACTAATGATGACTGACTGCATTGGTTAGTATGGGGGGGAGGGAAATCACGTCACAGTCTAGTCTCCCAAAAGCATCATCTCTCCACTGAAACACTTGCAAGTATTTCTTCCTGCAGAGGTATACTGAGCTATGAAAAGCATCTAATCTGCCTTGACATTAAAGCTCAAACAGGTAAAATGAACGCTCCAGTCAATTCCAAGATGAGCACAACCCCAGCCAATTTTCAGTAGAAAGTATTTACATGTAAAGCAACATTAATCTCAGCAAGTAAAGGTCTTTTAAAGACAGAAATAGGGACGTTAGCTACAAGCTAGCCTTCATGCACCCAGCTCTTCCTTCTACGTAGGACCAGACAACCTGCCGAGTGTCAAGGCTTGGACACAGAAGAAAAAAGTTACAGGTCTTCAGATGCAGAGAGAAAGGCAGTACCTTTACCTGAACCAACTGATACAACTGGAGATGAAAATAAACATATATATTGGGTTCAAGTACCTTTACCTGAACCAACTGATACAACTGGAGATGAAAATAAACACGTATCAGTTGGTTCAGGTAAAGGTACCTGAACCCAATATATAACTGGAGATGAAAATAAACATATATACTGGGATGGGTGGGAAGCAACACATTCCCTTCTGCCCCCCCCCCCCCCCAAAAAAAAATAAAAAAAAAAAACACCAGACAAGCTTTTACGAACACAGGCCATTCTTCAGATCTGAAAAATAAAAGCAAATATTCCCAAGATCTTGTTCAAGTTATCTAAGAGACTCTACGGCATGAATTTACGCCCCTAAGTGCACTTGTGTGAATTATAGATTGTGTTTCAGAATTCAGCCCCTAGGGTTTAAAAGCATAATTAATACATGTTACATGTTGCCATATGTGTACCATCATTTCAAAGTCCGTTTACATAAGCATAGGAAGAAATATGTCACCATTTTATTTCAAAATAATACATTTTGGTCCAAACAAGAAGATAAAATAATCGTCACATATGGTAGCAAAAACATATTGTATAGAAAAAGATATTCACATTAGAAATTACACAAAATAGGAACACTTGTCTTCCAAAGTGCCCACCGTTACACCAAAGGAAAGAGTTGGAAGTGTCTTAAAATATGCAGTACATTTGCAAAATATTAAGGACCATATAACTTCCTAAACAAGACTACCTTAATTTTAGTTTATACCTAAGAAACAAAAAGGTATCCAGTAAATAGTCTGTTCTTCAAACCTGATGTGAAAGTGTAATAACAAAGACCCTTGTAACTTTTTTCTGCATAGGCTAAACACATTTAAGTATCAATAACATAGGATGCTTTTGTTTGTTAGCTAGAAGATAGCAATAAAACACACGGAATACTACTTTTGGATTACCTGCAACAGCTGCCATTTTTGGAGATTAGAGAATCCTGTCCTCAGTAGATCTCAATTAACCAAGCAACTCTCACTAAAAATATTAAAATAATGGATTTTGTTAGTAACCCTTCTAAACTTAGAACAAATTTACTGTAGGAGACTCTTCGTTACTACTACATCAGGTATTAACTTAACAGGTTAACCAAGTACTGGTTCATTTAATCTGCCTATATAAATAGAAGATGCCAAGGCTACGGATCACCAGCCTTCCAAATGAAACCTAGTGAATTTAGATCAAGACTTAAGTTTTATGAAAGTTCTTCCCTTCCTTCCTACCAGACACAAGGTGTACTATAGACTAGGCATCCACCTATCTTAGGCCTGCAATTTTTTTTCTAAAGGCTATTTTACAGAAAACTCAGAACAAATTACATTGTGCCTATTAGAAAAACAACTACCGTAACACCTACAGGATCTTCTGGGAGAAGGAGGAAAGCTAATTTGGTTCAGAGAAGGGGGACTGGTTTTGAGTAGATCATCAGTGAAAAGATCTCAGAATTCTTATTGGCTTAATTTTTGAACATCATCCTTCATGGTATTACATGTTAATAGTACCAAACTCAAGAGCTTGCACAATTCTGAACTACGTACTACAGATGCAGTAGCTAAAGCTGAGGGCAGGTGAAAGAGAACAAATCCAACAAACTCTCACTTGAAAGTCATCCCAACATAAAAAGAGATGTTCCTACATAAGGGTAAAATATATAAATATATATATACACACACAATTATCTAGCTATACAGATAAAATATAAATATAAAATATAGAGATATATACATAAAAAGTGCAAGTAAAACACTGAATTTGTCCAAAGAAGTTGTAGTTAAAACATGAAGGAAACGCCTACACTTCAGAGAGAAGTTGATTGTTTTGAAAGTTAATGGAGTAGTGCCCAACCTTCACACTGCCCACATGATTTATTCTAGTTACATAGGACTCTTGTCTTCATACCACCTGCCGCTTATACAAAAGTATTTGAAATATTTGAAAAGATTAACCTGCCCAATGTACGGAGCAAGTGAGGACATTCTGAAGATCAGAAGCTATGAAACTGACGCATTTAAAAAGCAATAAGCTCCCTTTATTCTCCCCCCTACCCCGCCCCACGTAAACATAATTTTCACCAAGATCACTAGGCTGATAGCTCAAGAAGCATAAGCCATTTTTCCTCTATCCAAAGAGCGGGAAGACTTTCATTACCTATGAAAGTCTCCATATAGGCTACTAAAGCTCCATAAGCTTTTAATTTAACTACCGCCCCTGAAAGAAGTAGTTTAGCATCCCTTATAATCGATCTTGCATTCGCATGGCTAGCAGAGACCCCAGTTATTATTTGGTTCCTCAAAACTTGGCTCTAAGAAACTGAAGAGGTGAACTCATATCTCATATGCCATAGGTGGACAAAGGGCATATAGAAGCATCTTGCCTGTGAGACAGTCCTACCTCACTCTAAAAACAACCCAATTACTATAAAGTTATCCCATCACAGCCGTTCCTCAGCCCACTAATGAGGAAAAAGAGGTCCCTAAGCAGATACAAGATGGCTATACCTAAGGGAGACACCTTGATGATCAGTGTCACTTTCCACCCAGCACAGATTTTTACCAGTGTCTTAGCACTGGAAGCTTTTCTAACCCACTATCTCTCTAGCCTCTAAATTAAAGCTCTTTACCCTCAACTCTAAAAAGAGTGATGTTAATCGGGAATCATCAAAGAAAAAACCTTTTAAATTAAACAAATCCAACCAACAGCAACCGCAAAAACAAGCTCTATTCTACTAGCAACAGTTAAATCAGGTAAAAATTCCCTACCTGCCAAAACAAAACAAAACAAAAAAATCAAAACCTGAGAAGTCTCCTTAAAAATTCGCATTAAGCCAGAAAGAAGCGCTCAAGCTCACAAGAAGGAAACAGATTTAAACTGGCCGGGCTGCAACTTCATCCATCGGTCCGTCACC